ATGGTGATGGAAAACAGATGAGGAGCGTAAGGGGCGGCTGGTCTTGTTTACACAACAAGGCGAAGTGGGACGTTTTTAGGCATAGCCTGGGGCGTGTCGGCTGATTACCAAGCGTCACGTGGTCCAAATCCACCAACTTTTCAACAAGTGCGGTAGAAAGGGGTCACGTTATCCTCCGCCGGGCATAGCCACGCGACGAAAGAAGTGGCTGAAACCGTGTAGGATTAATCAATCAATCAATCAATCAATCAATCAACCGTGTAGGATTAATCAATCAATCAATCAATCTTATTGAGGAAGGACTGCAATAAGGTAGTTATGTTTATGGCTTAGAATAGTATGAGCTTCAAGAGTATGAGAATGTATTCAAACTAACTACTAGATAAACTAGATAGTTAAATCACAGTCTTCAAAACGAGGGAACTCCTCCTTCCTTTATAGACATAGAAAATGAACGATCACTCTGATCATTCAGTGATCAGGATGATCACTCCTGTACATCCTATTCGCTCATTCTCGTTAGACCAATAACACGCCTTGGCTAATGCAAGCTGATCACCTTGATCATTCCATGATCAGGCTGATCACTTTTCCTCACGTGATTTGTTACTTCGTAACAGAAGTGACTTATGCTTGATCTCTATCCCTCCTGCGGCATGAGAGTTGTAAGGAGATATCTGAACCTTTCTGATCTGATATAGGTTTAGCAGTGCCTCGGTCCAAAGCTTGTTTTCGGCACCGCCGTCACAACCAAGCTGCTCGAAGCATCCCCATCGACTAAGGACGTCCTCCCACAAGAACCTTGCAACTTGTTCAGACGTCGGGCTCCCTCGCAGAACCCTTGCTTCGGGCCATCCAGATAGCTCTTCTCTGGCTTGGACTATCCAGGTTCCTCCAGACACACTCGTGCAGTCCACCGACCATCGCTGACCGAGCGCGTGCCCCACTCGAGCAATCAGGGGTTCCCATTGTCTTCTCCCATCGCTCTGCTGACATTCGCGACAGGCTCGTACATACCGTTTTACATCGCCATAGAGATTTTCCCACCAATACCGTACGGCTATCAAGCGATAGGTGGCCTCTCGCCCCTTATGCCCATGCTCGTTATGGAGCCTCTCAATGATCTCAGCTTGTTCGTCTTGGCCTTCGATCACTCGTTTGTCAGGTTGACCGAGACGGCCTCTTCGAAAGAGCGTTGAGCCGACAAGGCGATACTTCGTAGCAAGCCTCCTGATTTTGCGGAACTCCTTTGCAGGTAAGCCTGCTGGGCGTTGGGCAGTGCTCAGGTACTCTCTAATAAGCTGATGTTCCACTCCATATATAGGCCCATCATGCCCATCATCAGTACTGGCTGAGTCATCAAACCCTTCATTATTCAGCATTCCTAGAAAGAATGTCTTCTCATAGGTAACGATTCGCGGTCCGGATAAGTATAACGCCCCCAGGGTGCCGTCAAGCCACTCCTCGTCTTCATGGTGGGAGACATCTTTCATCATGAGACCTTCATATTTTCTCGACAACCCATCAGCTGCTGAATTCCTCGTCCCCTTAACATGACGAACTTCGAAGTCCCAAAATGATAGCCATGCTAGCCATCTGGTAACTAACGCTCCAGCAACATCTGAGGCAGGCCGATTCAGTTGAGCAACTAGTGTGTTAGCATCCGTCTCTACAACAAACTTAACCCCGTACAGGTAAAGCTTGAATTTCTTAAGGATTTTCATTAATGCCTGACACTCCAGTTTTACGGCGTCCCATTTTCGTTCCGATGCTGACCAAATCCCACTCTCATATCGAGCCACTGTTCGTCGACCATCAGGCTGCACCTGGCCCAAGGTGCCTCCATAGCCGTCTCCGCTTGCGTCAACATTCACAATAATTTCCCCGGCGCCTTCGCCATAATCGATAGGTCGTAGAGCCGGCGATCTGGTTAGAGCATCCTGAAGCACTCGCATTGCTGCCCGCTGTTCTTCACCCCAGACGAACTTCTGTCCTTTCCGAAACAGCTGAAAAATAGGCTTAGCAATTGTTGCAAAATCTTTGATCCAAACACGGTAGTATACGCAGACCCCAATAAATGCTCTGGCTCCTTTCTGAGTCGTAGGTTCAGGCCAATTCAGAATCACTTCTCGTTTAGCGTGATCAGGGTGTCTCCCATCAGCATCGCAATAGTAACCGACAATAGTCACTCCTTCAGCTCCTATTTCCAGTTTCTTTCCAGAGACGGTTGCCCCTGAACATTCAACAGCCAAAAGCATCTCACTGACCTGTTGTAGGTGCTCAAGTACATAGCGACGTACGCCTGGCAGTGCCTCCTCATTATTATATGTTGTTCTCGGGCCGCCACATACTCCATCATCCACATATACCCCAGTATGATGTTGTACTGGTGCCATGATGGCTTGGGTTGCACGACAGAACTGGGCGACAGAGTTGGTAGCTCCCTGTGGTAAGGTAGTCTGGCGTAAGAGACCGAGTTCCGTCTGGAATGAAGTTAGGTCTCTGCTTTCTCTTGCCAGCTCTAGCTGATCATATCCTGAAAAGAAGTCCGCAACTGTCACGAGAGTGCATCCAGCATAGCGTTCGGAAAACTCATCGGCTGAAGGGGGTACGAAGGCATCTCGTATTGTCACTCGGTTGATGTGTGTCGCGGAATTAATAAGCCTATAGTTCCCATCCTTCTTTTTAACAAGGAAGAAAGGATTCCTATAAGGCGCATGACTTCTTTCCAAACGGCCGGAGGATATCCTATCCTGAAGCATTTCCGTCACTGTTTTGCTGACCGCTTTTGGTACATGGAATGGTTTCGCTTGCCAAGGTTCATGAAGGATGGTGCGTATAACCTGTGGGGGGGCCACCTCAGGCTTAATCCTCCCAATTTCCGAGAAGTCCCAGCTGAGTGCAGCCTCCCTTCTGAACAATACCTCCTCAGTTAACAACTTTTCCTGCGGTGTGAAGCCAGAGCTGATCTTCATTGCCTGTAGCCTCTCCTGCGTGAGCCTGACCCCACAAGGGAACCATGCAGTTCTGGGCTCAAACCATTCATCTAACGCAGTCACGCCTTCCGGTATGGCTTGCTGTCTGTGCGCCACTAGGACTTTCTTAAACCAATCAACATCGCCACCAGGAATCGAGCCGTCCTCTAGTGGGGCTGCAGCAGGCCGCACTTTATCCGCCTTTTTCTTATACAACGTCAGGATGCGCAGTTCCTTACTCTTTTGCTCAATCCATTGTTTCTCACCCAAGCTCTTTATCTGCATCTTCGTTGCCTTCTTCTGACGTCTCATCTCCCCCACCATGGTCCTCAAATCCACAATGCTTAAAGGCTAGACCCATTCAAGCTCTGCACTTCTATCATGCCATTGCTGATCATATGGCATGAACCCCACTTATCTTGAATTTTCCGGAATCAGCAAGGCGACATTGCCTCCGGAATGCAAGCCGCCTAGTCATTTCCTGACAACTCTTCTATATCCACCTCAATTTGCGGTTTATTATCCATTAGTGGGTATTCAGAGATTGCTGCGGCAGCTTACCAGCGTACGCTCCTGCTCCCATCAGGTGCATGCGCTCGATAAATACAACTTCCATCCCCCATATGGTGGGTTTCAAGCTGGGCTAGCAATATCTAATCAGTTCCCAGGATCACTTCAAGACTAAGATTTCTAAACACAGCAAAAATAACCGGGTTATATATGATATCGGAACCAGCAATATTAACACGCGCAGATACCCAACCAATGCAGTGCATAGCTCCTTTATTGGCGGCCCTCATGTTCTTCAGGACCGTCATGTCTCCATGGATCTGATTGAGCACTAGGCCTTGCTCTTTTGCAAATTCTTCGCTCAAGCAGTTAGTACATGCTCCAGTGTCTATCAGTGCCCTGGATTCATGTCTTGACCTTCCAATATATACATCCACCATTGGCAGAGGTGCTGAAATTCTCTGTCGGTTTTGCAGTCTGTCCTGATGGGCGATATAATCACTTGTCAGTTCTCGGACTGTAAGATCACCACCATATATTGCACCGATGATCATATCCTCTCTTTTTGCTTTTGCTCCGGCCTTCTGCGCATTGGTTTCCTCAGTTCGCTTTCGGCGCGCTTCCTTAGCAGCCGCTAGCTGGTCCCTCACAACGTCGGCAATTGGACCAGGCAGAGACTGATAGATGGCATTCCGGATCTCAGGCATGAGCTGTAACGATTCCATGAGAGAGATTTCGACAGTACTGTTCATCAGGCGCTCGGTGAATGAGACTACCGTCTGCTCATGAGGGACTTCCTTTAGGTAGTTCTTCAGGGTAGGCTTGCTCCCTACCCGGTCAGCCACCTGAGTCACCATAGCTGGCTCTTCTTTTTCTTGTAAGGTACCGCTCCTTACAGTCTTGACAGTAGCTCTCATTCCAGATGGCTGACTCTCAGAAACCACATGTGTCCCTACTTCTCGTACGACTCGATCATATTCCGCAAAATAACTGCCGCCAGCATTCTCACAGATCAATTGAACTCCAGCAGCCTGCCTTCCTGCAGTTCGTTGCTTCATGAGCTCATCAATCTGCTCACGTTGCGTCTTCTTGACCTGGCTGTATCTGTTCAGCGGAATCAGATCTTGGCCACTACCGACCGGCCCCCAGCGAAATGCCTTTGCCTCACGATCCCAATGGATTTGCCTGCTATCCATTAGGGGCATGAGTAATGGGCACCTCGTTGCATGACGGTGAGGCTGGTTATCGTTCGCGCAGCACCAAAGCTCTACTGAAGCCTGGTCTTGAGATGGCATTGCTGGTTTATACAAGCTCATTCCGGTGGCCGAGTTTTCCGTCCTTGGTACCGCGGCTTTCAGATGCGTATTCGGGAACAGACTCTCAACATAGTTAATGATATGTCCCATCTGCGTGCTATCTTGTTTCCCACTTTTAAGGATTGGATCCTCGCAGATGGCTATGCGTTGCTTCAGGCTGTCCATTGTTGCCGCACCAACTCGTAGATTGTCAATACTTTGCCGAAGGTCTTCATCCAGTCTTGAGGGGTCGGCATTTCTTCTTGAGATCCCCGGGTACTGAGTTTTTATTACAGTCTTCAGTTGCCCTTCCGCGGGACCAGCCTTCTCAATCTGTTGTCGATACTGGACACTTTGCGCAACTTGTCTTGCCGCTGCAACCACACTTGCAAAGTCCGGGATGGCTCGTCGCCGCTCACCAGAGGGGGTAAGCTCATTGCTGATGCTATCCAGGATCTGATCTTGTCGACTCTCTGAGAAACCCTTTAAAAATATCTGGACTAGCTGGAAGTTTCCTATCCTTCCCTCACTCAGCATTTCCAGGCCTATTCTACGAAACTCGGTGATGTATGCTAAGGGAGTCATGATGTTGTCTTCCCGTACAGCCTTAGCCAGCATCCTCAAGTACGATTCGCTTCTTTTCATAACCCGGCCATCTGAGTCGCTGAACTCATCCATCAGGCTCCTTCGAAAGGCCATCCAGTTGCTCGACTCATATCCATCCAGGTAACGGATTCTCGGTCTCAATCCTGGCTGGGTATTGATCACCAGCTCTTTACACCAGCTTTCCTTGGGTACCCCTTCTTGTTCCAGCTCAACCTCGAATTCTTCCAACCAATCACTGACATCCAGGCCAGTGAACCAATGCGCCTCCTTCCTGCGCACCTTGCCAAGCCTAGTCACTTGTTGCTGAACAAGTAACCGCAGGAGGCGGGCAACCTCCGTCTCCTGATATGAGGTAGGTTCCGGACCCCTCATACTTTCTTGCCTAGCGACAGGTACTTTAATAGTACTTTCCTCAGCAGTATTCAAAGCCATATCTTTCAATATCTTAAAGCAGTTACTCTTAGCAAAGAAATAGCAGTAGCAAAAATCAAGCAGTGTTGTTCCTAGCAATCCCAGGTCTGAAGCAAATCTCCTCCTTTTTCTCTTGTTCTCCCCTCTCTCTCCTCTTTCCCTATGAGCCATTTTCTTCACCTCCTTTTTCTTGTCTCGTATGCCACCCCTATCCTTCTCAACATTTTTCAGATAGTGTAATCCAACCCAAACCAGGCCAAGGAGATAGATTATAAACTTCAACTCTTTTAGGATCTGTAATATGATGTATCCTAAAATCAGGTAATAAAAGAGTCTTGGAAAACCGGTTTTATCTTCATATAACCAGAGGAGACTAGGTGGTGAAACCTTAATTTCTTTTTTATCGCTACCTAAGGAATAATACCTCAGGTGTGATAATCTTAATGAGTTCCGATATCGCCATATCTTTCTTCTTATTGGTCTCCTCTGTGGGTCCATGCTCTTATTTTTCATCTCAACCTGCTGTATTTCCGGTATCGTAAGTAGAGACTATCCTCCCTTAGATTCTAGGTGCAGCCTCACTTCGGGCGCCAATTGTAAAGGTTTTAGGCTGACCGCCACTTCAGGGGGTAGGACACTCGATGTCAAGGCCTTCCTGAGGGTGAGAAAATCAAGAGGGAGAGAGAAGCCTCCCACAGATGGGAACTGTAAAGAAGCTTAGAAGTAGGATAAGATAGTTAGGATAAGGGTATAAAAGAAGATAAAGTAAATAGGGAAGAGTAAAGTAAAGATAAAGCAAAGCAAAGCAAGGCAAAGCAGGGCAAAGCAAAGCGAAGTTCTGTACGAGGCAAAGCAAAGCTGGTTTCTGTTGTCTTGTTCTTGTCTGAAGCTATGTCTCTCTTATCTTCCTCACTCTCCTCTTCTTATATACCCTCACCATATCATATGACACCTGAGGCCCTGTATCACGTGATGCCCTTTAGAGTATGAACCATTTTCCCCAGTACAGTATAAGTAGTTTTATTAAGCCGGCCTTGTTAACCAGAAGGTAATAGTTAAGTGAGTCAAGGATGGGAGGATGCTTCAGCAGTTTCAAGAAATTGATGTATGAATAAGAGGAAAGAGTACTGTTAGGAATACTTTCCCAGTACCGACTAGCTTCACTAATGTGAACCACTTCGGAAGGGATGAGCTTCCTAGAGCAAAGGAATAATATATAACTAAGGCTTATTACGAAAGGAAATATAATAAGATAGTTATGTTTATGGCTCAGAATAGTATGAGCTTCAGGATATGAGAATGTATTCGACTAACTACTAGGTAAACTAGACAGTTGAATTACAGGGAGCTGTCATAAAGGTAGGGACAGGACATTTTTATAGACATAGGAAATTCCGTGCTCATCCCGCTCATCCCATGAGCGCCATAAGCGTGCTCAGTGCCAAGAGCAAATAAGCACTGCTGCCCCTTCTATAGGTTAACCCTCCCTGAACCGATAGAAGTGGTCTCACGTGTTATACTCATAACAAGTACATACAAGCTTTGGTCGTTATACTCGGCATTACCGTGGGTCTGCTAATAGCTTCCGGACTTCCAACGCATTAGTATGATAAGGGCCGAACATATTAACATTCCATATAAACATGATTAACGCTACCACTAGCGCATCATCTGACTTCAGCTCAACCATCAAGCCCGACGTACTGAATCCCCATATCTGAAGTACATCTGATGAGGGAAACCTTAGTACCACCATATCCTTCAGCTTTTCAAGCGATACATCATCGACAAAATGCGGTTCACCTAGCCGCCCTTCAGTCTTGCGAATGTGCCTTGGTAATATCTCCATCCGCTCCTTCTCAAAGACTAATATTATAACGATATTGTTCAGCAGGACGCCTGCCGGTAGCTGAAAGGATAATAAATGCCCTGCCATGTAGATGGTAGACCGCCTCATTCACCTTGCCTATATCCTCATCAGAATACAACGTAGATGTTGGAGGTGTTGAAGGATTGCGTGTATCACGTTTGCATGGTGACGCGTTCTGCAGCTGTCGTGATCTGTACGCGTTCGCCGAAATAAAGCATGCCTCTGCCAAAACGAGCTTTGTCGTGTCCCAGTTAGGAGGAGCATGCGTGAATCTCGAAACGTCGTCAAACACACCCGGGAACGCATTGATGAGTGCGGCGAGCATGGCGGATTTTGTAGCCTGGCCATTCTGCCTGCTCCAGTATGTCCGAAGGTCAAGCCGTTCCGTACTCCTGCTAGACTGCTCATCAAGGATCCTGACGCATGTCCTCCTTATCTCTTGATATTTGCTCTTATCGATCTGAAGTGCGCCTAAGAAGTCGTCGTCCTTCATATATCCATGCTTGCCGGTGCCACGCAGCGGCGTTGACATATACCACTATGCCGGCTTCTCGTGTGCGATCATAGAGTACGTATGTGGTGAGAATGTCGTATATGGCAGTATTTATGCAAAAGATAATAACCAGCCCGTAATTACAGGGTGACAGAATGCTATTATCAATATATGTTAAAGATTGCTCAAATCTAAGTCTGGTGTTATGCTCCTCTCGGCGTGAGCATGGGTGACATTTAGCTAGCGCTAGTTCTAGCTGATGCTCGCTAATCCCTGAGCTTATCACCTTCATCCAAGATCAGTTATATACCAGAAATCATATATATAGATGGCCATTCTAATTTTTTTTATTGTATTAGAGCATATTCTTTTGTTTCAGTACCTCATCCCTTCCTACATGGCCGAAATCCAGCTTACGCACGATGGTGTGAGTATATCGCAGCGAATTGCTTAGCCGATAGACGTTCCAATCACCTCAGTTGATACTTTTGCGAAATGGTTAGCGCTCAAGTGTCCGCATGAGTCCTGGCTGCAAACCAAGAGGGACAAAAACATGTTCTCTAGACATGTACGTTCATCAGTATCGCGCCATATTGATAGGAAGAAAGACGGACAATATACCACGATGTGGTTGAAGACACCACTCACCAGGAAGTCTGCAGTCCTTAAATAATTACTCCACTTCGAGCCTCGGCTGGAATGGTTTAAGGACAACTGGCCTGCTAAAATATTCTGTTCTATACATATAAAGAATCAGAATGTGGTGCGAGGTGCGAAAACTGCGGTACATATATTACTGGCTGGCATCAAGATATAAACTTACTCTCTAGGTCCCAATACTACATGCCACGCCTATGCCATACGGTCCATTGGCGACACCCTGTATTCCACGTGATCCTTTACTAGATGAAGGTATTCTTACACAGCCAGTGCTACAGGGTGGGTAAGGGAGTAAGTAATGTAATAGCAGACAATAGTTTTATGCTAATCATCTCCTGAGCTGATTCCTTTTCAGTCATCCCAAACCACACTCCGATAAATTTTGATGGAGATACTGGGGATATATCACCCACACAACCTGAATTACCCGGCAATACACAACCTGGCATGAAATCTTGTGCGAAATGCAAGCCCTTAAAGCCAATATCGGATTATATTGGCTCCTCTGGTCGATTTGTACAGAAGTGCACACTGTACAGGGCCGCAGTTCCAGCTCAACCATTAACGAATGACGTGGCAAAGAGAACGCGGGTTGAATCAATACGACAAAAGCAGAACAGAGAGATGGTGTTGGAGTTACAGAGTCGGCGAGTCACGAAGCGGCATGATGCTATACAGAAGAGACATCCGGGGGCAGCAAGCATCCAGGCCAGAGAGCAGATCCGGAACAGGTTTGGCTAAACACCAGGCAATAAACTGCTTAGATAGCTATTGAGGGCATGTTCTGTATCTAGTAGCAGTATCACACGTAATCCACTTTCTACATAAGGTTTTAGTATATGCTAGCTAATACTGAGTCGCTAAATCCATCATCTCCGCCAACTCCGAACTAATTTGGCCAACACTGACTACCAAAATCCATATTCTCTAATATCTTCCAACCTATATTAGCCAGCGTTGGGTTTTGTTGGCTGTAAGGGATTGGTGATAGAAGTGTGAGATAGATAGTTTGATTCAAGAATATCCGCTAGCTCCTGAGAGTCTCTCCTCTGAACTGCCTTAAATAAAGGTGTGCGAAGTAGACACGTGTGCCTTAATACCGCACCAGCTATACATCGCCAAGCTCGAGGTATCTGCAAGTATGTGTTGTTCTCATGATCCCTGTGCTGTCATGTCGCCTGTGCCACGCCGTTGTCACGCCGTACGTGACAAAGATTGTCGCTTGGTTCTGTTCTGCAGATATTTGGCTGGGGGACATCTGGTGCCATGGTCGAATTGGACACAGATGATGCCTTAGTGATTGCGTTGGTCATATTCATCTGCAAAGTAAACAGCTCAGGCATGTACGGCGTTAATGCTATCGAGATCAAAGAGCGAACAGCCAGGCCCGGTATATAACCTATGACAAAATAATCTTCAGCATAAAATATATGTATAGTCATTCTCCTAATGTGGATTATTTCAAACTTGCCCTTTAAGTCATGCTGTAGTTACCAGTGCCTGCCCAACCGTAGAATTACGGTTAGGCCGGCTAGGTCCGGTAGATCATTCGACGACTCATGCAGACGACCGCGTGGCTTCAGATTACCCTACGTGGTATATCTTCACCGCTTTACTTAAACCTTATCTGTGTCTTGCCACGTGATTCACAAGCTAGTCGATCACCCAACCTAGTCGATCACCATGCCCACCTTGAAGTCTTTTAACAAGGATATTATCGTACACAATAGAATATTAATTAATTAACTATCTAAGCTGAAATCTAACGTTTAGAACATGTACGAGCAGTATGCTCGATTGATCCACAAAGGCTGCATGTTCGTGGAGCACGTAATTTTGGCACTGAATCTATCGTACGAGCAACAACTTGCTGTGCTTCGATTTGAATTTGCCTCTCACTTTAACTCTCAAACACCATATCTTGACCCTCATTTATAGCTAAAGAACCTCCAATTTAAACTCTCGTACGACGGACTGCTCGTTTACGTTTTTGACGCGCATTTTCGACGCGTAATGCAGCTACTTCAACTTGTAAAATAGCCCGTTCATGTATGATAGTCTTAAAGCCTTTCAATAGCTGTTGGAAAGCAGAATTAGAGGGTGAATGAGAGGTATTTGTACGGCGCCGACGTTGCTCTTGGATATGCTGTGCCTGGCGCTTCACTTCCTTCATTGTATAAGGCGTTTTTGACTCCCATACTGACTCTTCTGTAGGAACAGGACTCGGGGTTCGTACGACTGGATTCAGCATTGAAAGAACGCGATCTGGATCGTACAGGATGAGGCCAGTAGCAGCAAATCCACTGCGGATATTCTTCTCAGTAATTGCTTGTACGTGAGCTGGGTGGTATAGCTATAGGAACTCATCTTTATCGATATGGTTGATGCCAAGCCTCATTTTGCCTTCCATTTGCTTACCGTACAACGCTTTTAATGGGCCAAAACAGCTCACATCCAATGGCTGAAGGATGTGGGAGGAGTGGGCTGGCATGCAGGCTGTAATAATCTGATTTTGGTTGCAAAACTCCTCAAACCGAGCTGAATGATGGCTTCCATGTCCGTCCAGTACGAGCAGTCAGTATTAGCCTTTCGTACGACTCTGTGTAGGCTTTTGGAAGTGCTGAACCCATTAAAATCCAATCTCATCATCTGTCCATCCTTTCTCACTTACAGAGATAACCCAATTGTACGGTACGTTACTTTCTGCGTACCAGCTGCTTTGATGAACCTTTGCTGCGAGGATCACGTACGCGGGATTGATCAGCCTTGTGAATTGATGCCATGTACGACAGTGACCCATTCTCGATTGCCTGGTTGTTTGGTCCTTGGACGACCCTTTTCTCTGCTCTTGTAACCACTTTTGAAGTTGAGATTACCCTCATTTAGAAGCCAGTCTCGTCAAAGTTATAAATATCCTCCTCAAGTATGCCATACTTCGCAATCAGGTTTCGTACGAGGTTGAACCACCCCTGGATAAGGACTGGATCCTCGCATTGCGCGCGCTGATAATCATACTTTCAATTATATATCGTACGAAGTGATTCGTGTCGATTAACAAAGTTGGTAGCCCAGTTCTTGCCGACTATATGTGGGGGTGACGCATCGCGGTTCGCGAGGATGATATTCGCGATTTCTCGTACGATAGCTATTTTTGGTGAAATCCTTAATTATCAAGATCAAAGATACGTTAAAGAAGAACTTCCTCTTCAAGAGGAGTTAATTTTTGAGTCGTACGATGCGAATCGCCGCGAGGAAGCTTATTATGGTAACGATCGTATAGAGTAGTATATGGAACGTCGTACGCGCGAGCTGCAGCTCGTAAACTTTGTATTTGATCTTGGAAAAATGCCTGAAGGGCTAAAGAAATACGACCTTCTTTTTGTAGGTCGTACGAGGATCGCATTGTTATGAAAAAAATTAATAAGTATAAAAATATGCGACGCGTGAGCACGGTGATCGACTAAGTTGGGTAATCGACTAGCTTGTGAATCACGTTAATTTAACTTAGCTTGGGTCCATTTTGCTAATATGTACTAATCGCATACCTCGGCAGCTCGGGCAGAATGTGGCGTGGCTTTGGAGCCTTCAAAAAGCGTCACGTGAAGCGGCAGGCTGATAGACTAACTTACCCCAATCAGGGTTAGCGTCCGATGAATCAGCCGATTAGATCTTGTCAAGGTTGAACTTCGGACTGTCACGTCCATCAAAGGGCTTCTCCACAACAAACAACACATCTCCATGATCAACAATCAGGTCTTATTCCCTCGCCACCGCCGTCTTTCATGAACACCACGAGCGGCTCTAGCATTGAGGTCTGGATAGACAATGTCCAGACGCCGCAAAATTTGTATGAGCCAACCATACCACCAAATCTTTCTTGGCCAAGTGACGACAAAGAGAACTCCCGGGCGGCAGCAAAGAAACGCCGTATCATGCAGTCTGACCATGACCAAACACCTCGTCCTTTGAAACGACTACGTGACCTCAACGACACGTCCAGATTTCCTCCTTCCTCTCCAACCACGAGCGCCTCCAGCGAAGCTGTTTCCGATGCCTTCGAAGCTGAGTCACACCAGAGTGGGCGCTTAAGTCCTGTCAAGCAAATACAACTGCTTGAAGACTTTGAAGACCAGCCCGTTATCTTTTGCAACTTCGATGACGATGTGGATGGAGCGGAGCCGGATGATGTGACATCGATGCGAAGAGCTATTCAGCGCTTCGCAGATGGTATTGGAATACTAGGGTACGACAATGTGGACGAGGCGGTTTTCGCCTTGCCGCCATTGGAAAGGATGCGCTTCCGGTATCCCTGGGCAAGCGACCTGGATCAGCGCTGTAGTATCGGCTCGATGCCCTCAATAGCGCAGGTATTGGATATTGTAAAGACAGCGCGAGAGCATGACCGCGGCTCGGGTGTGTCTGAGGACGACTGGAATTCCGAAGTTCAACATCCACTCCTTAAGCTTGCCTGCAGCACATGCAAGCACTCGGAGACCCTTCTAGTCTTAAATGTGTAAGCATCGGTTTAAACCTACCGTAAGTCGCATACTCATAGCTTGTAGAAAAACGGCTAGAATCGAGCCCGCGTCCCTCTCTCGATCCACTCTCCCCGGTCGAGTCGTCGACTATGTTGTTGCACTCAAACCGGACTCAATCCTTGACCAAGCCTGGCATCGACTTCGTCCTCTCCCTAGCATGTCTATCAAGTCCTGGAATCACACAACCCGGGCCCGTCGCAATCCCATCGCAATCCATGTAGAAACTAAGAGCCCGATGAAATCATGGACAGATGGCAAACCTCAGATCGCGATATGGACTGATGCTCTGCTGAAACGCCTTGCTCTCATTAGTGGTAATGCAAGTGGCTCATGGCCTGCCCTCCCACTTCTTATTGCTCAAGGCCACGATTGGCACTTATTGATTGTCTCCAAAAATGACCAGAAAATGATCATCTGGGAGCAGATAGATATAGGGAGTACGAGGTCGTGCTTTGACGCGATGAAAGTTCTAGCAGCTCTACACTGGCTTATGGACTGGGCTGAGAGAGTATGGCGACCGTGGTTTTTATCGCTAGTAGTCCAATAACAACGTATCTTTACCATTGTAAGAAAGTGTCTTAATTAGCGATGGAAATTCTCTATTTAACATTTCAGGAACTCTTCGAGCCAAACCCACCCCTGCGCATCCAATAATCCCAGTATCTCGGATTGTCCGAATCTGGAGTTCCGAATAACGACGACTCTGACTTGTTAGCAACCATTATCAAAAACGCATCGGTTTGAGAGTCTTCGCCCCACTCATAATTAGGCGGGTCTGGTCCATCCCTTGCCACGGCGATTGCTCTCCTAACCAGAGCTCTAGGTACATTATCAGGTACAATGTCCCACTCCACATCACCATTGAAGATTTCCAATAGTGATTCGAGAATAGTAAGTAAGAACTCCCGGTCTTTGGGTCTGTCCTCGCTTTCAAGAACCCCTCGAATCGCTGACGATAGATGTAAAGCAAAATAGCCTTCCCTTCTGAGGACACTCCAGGCATAAGGATCCGGGGCACATTCTGCCAAGAACATCTCAATGCTTGAACATGCGGTTTTAAGCATGAGAACACGTTCCCAGGAATCTGAAAGGTTGATGTCCAGCGCCGTATGCTTGACAAGTGTATCAAGGGCAATCAGCTCGAGGATATCCTTCGTAACTGCTAAGACGGGATTGCCGATTGCAGACAGCGCAGTACAATGTTGTCGGTCGTACATTGATGTTGATTCGGATGGCTATCCAGACCCTTTACCCCTGAGTTATGTGCTGAGAGCATTACGCTCACCTTTCTGCAGTTCAACTTGTTTTGCTTGTGCCGCTGCCTCCTCCCGGGCACTGCGCTTCTGCTGCGTGATGTATCTCTGAATTTCTTCCAGCCTTTTAGCTTGCTGATCAGCTTCGTTTTTGTTCTCTTCTTGCAGCGATTCGCTCTTTCCCCCCGAGTTATTTTCCTTGGGCGTTCGAATGATCTTTGTCTCCGCGGTGTTCTCGAGTCTGACAGTCGAATCGAGGTTCAAATCTCCTAGAAGAGACGTGAAAAAGTCTTCCGAAGGTTCCGTTGATGCGTGAGTGGGTGATATATCTCTATCAACTTTCTGGGGTAATTCCTCGATCAGGTTTGATCCATCTGTATAGTTAAAGTGAGGCTCTTCGTAGCGATGGGCCTCCTCGACATCCTCTCTCCATGATTCAATTTGCGCATTGGTCCTGCTGTTCGGGCCGCTTTGCAATTCGTTCATGATCTAGAAACATTTGCCTTGAATTGGTTAGTCAACAGAAGATCTTCGTTCGAGGCAGAACAGTGAGCCTTTTTGCACAAGCTCTGGCTGCTATGATGCCGAATTTAGTTTTGCAGTGCTCGAAAAACCACCAAGCATGCGCTGTTTCTGCAGCTGATGCGAGCTACCAAAGAATCCCCAGCGTGCAGCGCTCGTCTAGAATGCTGAATACAAAGATCGACATTCGTGGCATGCTGTAACTGGCTACTGCCATTATTACACAACAGGCTGGTGGCTATACGAATCACAGCGTATAAGGAACAAATACCACATAGCACATCGAGTCCATAAAGGGCTCAACGGAGATCATCGATGATTCTCTAAATATTGTTAAATCCTTCCCTCCTAAAAAAATGCCCTCGTTACCAGATAGTGATGCAAAACACACCTGCCCAATATGCAAAGCGGGGATCCGTGATCGAAAAGCCGTCGAAAACCATATTGGAGTCAAAAACCAAGCTTTATCGGTCGCACATCAGTGCTCACTTTGCGAACAGCGATTCTGCAGCAAGAATGCAATGCTACAGCACCGGAATGCACCATCTCACAATACCATGTTCAAATGCGACAAAATGTGGAAATCACTTCAGGGCTAAAAAGGACCTGAATAACCACCAGAGGGCCCTCGGATATACGGCTATTCGCTCGCCAGTAAAATTTGTTCCAGCAGGCTGGTCCAAAGGCCGAAATTCTGGACCAACAGGAAGTTGGAAGGTCAGCAGCATCGACAGACAATATATGAATATGCACCTTGACGAAGACTGGACACTTTGTGATAAGGATTGTGGATGGTGCGGGCACTGCGCAGAATCATACGGTTATTGAATCTCACGAGAGTGAACCGACTGCGTGTGTCGCACTGACTGACCAGGCTAAGCTAGGCAGTGCCTAAGAAAGCTAAGATTGCTGATGTGCAGCGTTCAAGGAAGCAAAAGGAAGTGGAAAATAGAATAAATAGATATGCTTTTAATGAAAGTTTGTTCTTATGATGATATTGTATATTATTGTAGGTTATTGTGTATTATTGTATGTGTTCTGGTTGGTTTTCATAAAATGCAATCTTTTCAACAGTTGATTTGTATAAGAGAGCACATACTAGATACAGCTCTATCCTTAGGGAGGACCATCCCACCACACGTGCGTGTCTCCAACATTATTCTTCACTACTTGCTTCGCGGGAGCAGTCTCGTCCTTCTCTTCCTGAATAAACTATCTGCGTCGTCAGCGGGGCTTCTGGCAAGACATCAAACTGTCACGTGCGCTGGGCAAAGTTGGGCATTAGGAACTCGGAATTTTTCTAATATCCATGAATCATAGCTTAGAAGGTGAATCTATTTTAGCAGCTATTCAGCAGCTTAAATCGATTCGTACCTAATAATCCGCGGGGTAAGAATTAAGAGCGCGTATCATGGATTGATTGATTGATTGATTGATTTGTTCCTACTCGGTTTTGGCTGCTAGTTATCTGCAGCTATGCCCGGTTAGGCGGGCTTCATCAAGTGACCGACACGTGATGAGCCATGGCCAATCAGAAGACCAGCGCGTGGCTCCGCACGTCCCTCTTCACCGCGCATGCAAACCCTGGAGTGAACAAACGTGGCCAGTCTCCTCTTTCACCCACCCTCTTACCATCTGCCTCTACCTTCAAATGCCTGGTATGCATTTGTAGAAAGTGGCTCTACTACTAACTATTCTGCTATATATAGGCTCAGATAGGTATACCCCGTGTTTCGCCATCCTTGATACCTTCAGTCTCCACCCAATACTCCGCATCACCTACTCGCTCGGCGCCCTTTGCCCTAGGGCCCTCGCCTGTTCCATGAGTTTGATCGCTTTCGTGGCTAGCTTGCGTGTTGAGAGTACCTTTCGCAGGTCCTCTCTGCCCGGTAGGCTCCCGAATCCGAGCCGTCGTTCATCCTGGAGCAGTCGGCACCGCAGGAGCGTATGCGCGACTGTTTGGCGGCCTCCACCGCAGGGGCATCCTGGGTCCTCGAATCCTGGAACGCGTCGGAAGAAAAGGAAGTCTCTAAGCCCGATCTTCTCGGTTCTCATCTGCACAAGTAAGGCGCTCTCAGCCTTAGTTAGGTCCTTGTGTAGCTGTAGCACCTTCATATCTGGTAGCGGTGTGTGCCGGTATGTAGCTCTGCCCTTCTTCTCCTGCTGCCAGCTCCTGGCCCAAC